AGACATAACCAGACAAGCCCCGACCGAGATTGACATAAATTAACGGAAATGAGGAAGAATCGGTCACACACTCCGCAAGCCTGCTTCTAGTGTCATCAGGCAGGCTGGAATCCATAAGGCAAGTGAAAAGTGGATCAGCCAAAACAGACTTGGTTCAGAACTGTTGAGGCAGATGTAAATGCAGCATGCACGACATTGACCGAGCTGAAGAGCATGTTGGAAAAATGTTTTCCGGCCCTATGTTCCCCAAAGAAAGAAGAGGAATAAAAACAACAACCTTGACATAGTTGGACAAGGTATTAGAATAAGCCAGAACCTACATTGGCCTGCAAAAAGTCAGCGTACGGATGGAGAAAGGATACAGTAAATCTACAAAAATAGAAAGTGGTGTAAGACAAGGGCATGTCGTCTCGCCGGAATTATTAAACCAATACATTGAAGACTTGCTGACAGAATTATAAGTCCTACCTGGATTCATTATTGGCGGCCATAATCGTCCCAACATATGATATGCAGATGACATAGTGTTGATAACAGTGTTGGGAATTACTTTTAAGAAACGCGTTCTCCGGTGTCAGCCGAATCTTCTTGTTGGATAAAGATGGAATTTCATAAATATATTCTTTTACAGGATTCAAATGTATTTTCTGATTCCTTGAAATTATCAATCTGCGTCTATTATTATTATTATTATTATTATCATTATTATTGTTACCATTTTTTCCTTTTGATTTCTGCGGTGTTTTCTGTGCTCCTCTCGGAGACCAAAGGTCGGAATTGGCATCATGACATTATCCACTGAGCAATTAAAAGAAAAACATATATTTTAAACACTTCGTAAGATGTATGCTGTACTCGTGAGAAAAAAAAATGTTTCTTTAATGCGTGAAATCCCTTCAATGAGTCTATTGGAATCTTTTTTCCAATCAATCCGAGGGCTCCAACTACAACTGGAATTATTGATTTTTATGTGCCACATTTTAGAGAATTATTATTATTATTATTATTATTATTATTATTATTATTATTCATTTTAGTGGTTGCTAGTTTTTTGAGGCAATCAACTATTGTTTGAATTTCGCACTTTGTTCTCCCGTGCCTTCGCATATTAAAATAAAAACATGCGTTACGTTTCTTTACGAAATCTTCAAACGGGTGAATATGGCCGTTGCAGAATCAGTGTGTTCGATTTTAGCCTGCAACGCTTCTTTTTTCACTCAGTCATTAAAAGAGTAATTTACATTAAATCCTGGCTACGACTATCTTTAAGAATTCTTTCAGATAAAAATAAAAAAAATAATAATTTTCTCTTTTTCTCTATTGAAATAGCATTTGAAAAATCCGTCTTCATTATCATATGGCTATAAAACGACATAGAAAAACGTAACATACTAAAAACTGCATCTACAAAATCTCACGCAGAGGTAAAAGAGAATACAATATTAAAATGAATAGTTTGTATCCTCTTTCAGCGTCAGCCTGTTATAGGTCAAATGTTCTATTTTATTATCGGAAAGGATACCTAGCGATTTTTCTTCAATGGCTGTTTCATGGTATTCCATAACTTACTGTCCTTTGTAGCATTTAGTAAATTTTAGTTTTTCTATATATCCAAATCCTTGTACTGCCAACAATGCACACGAGCTCTTTAAGTAAGTTATGCAAAGATTTCTTCAGTCTCACTTGAATTCAATGTCCTGTGCGTTTCAAATTTTTCAAGCCATGCTTCTTCATTTGTTCCCTTAGAATTTTCACTTGTTTCTTTATGACTCTTATATAAGTTTTATTTTTTCTTTCAATTCTCTCTAAAGCTTCCTCGTTGCTCACGTGTTCAATTCCTATTATTCTCAGCATCCTTCTGTTGAATCATACTTCTTTTGCCTCAAGTCTCTTCTCCATATGTGATTAGATTGACGAGCATTCAGTGTCATATAAGAGTATCGATATTACGTAAAATGTCAGTGCTTTTTTCTTTTTTTTTTTTACAATGAAATTTTCCCTGTTTCTTAATACTTTACTTAACTTTTGGAAAGCTTATTTCGCTATCTAAATGCGCCTTCGTATTTCGGTATTGCATTTCCGTTCTCTGTTAGTACACTTTCTAGAAATCTAAATTCTTGCAATTGTTTAATTTTTGAATCTTCAATTTGTAATTGGCATGTTGGGCTCTTTCTTTTGTTGACAACCATATGTTATATCTTCTTGCAATTGATGTTTAGTCTTTTCTTCTTGATTTCTTTTACTATTTTCTGTAGCATTTTTCTCAAGTTTATTTTCTGTAGTCAGCTATATCTATATTGGAATACTACTTGTATTAGATGGGCATGATTTATCTTAAAAGAGAGAAATTAACATCTAAAAACCATGGAACGATTGAGGATAGTCTATTTAATAGTTTTCAGAGACAATATCACAGATAAAAGCGTACACAAAATAATTTGTAGCATAAGATATATTTTATACAATGAAAATGTTCTTATCGTGTTTAGCTCTGTTGAATAAATAAACCCATTTTTCAGTAAAGGATGGCTTGTTAATTTTAACGTCTCAAACAAAAGTAAACTGCTCTTCATTAATCATCTAAGATATTCCATTCTGTCTTCTATCAGAATGGCTGATGGTAACCTGCAGGAGAGGGACAAGTTGTGCCTTCTCAAACGAACTGATATGAAGTGGAAATACTAGAATCCATTCTTAGGTCAACTGCTAAGAAGGTCGGTTCACTGTGTCGGGCTAGACAATTTCTCTCTCCAGAAACTATCATATATATCTTTAAGTTTACTATTCGTCCATGCTTAGAATATTCCTGACACATTTGGTCCGGAACTCCTGCAATGTATTAAGAGATTCTTGATAAAATCCAAAGGAGAATCAGCAATATGATTGGTTCTGATCTGACGTCTCGCCTTCAGTTACTTACTCTTCGTCATAAGGTTGTCTCCCTGTCCATTTTTACTTTCATAGTAATTCTTCTTAGAAGCTCTTCCTTGTGATACCTAAGTTCATGAATAGAAACGCAGTAATAAATTGGCGACGAGGTTTCGTCTATTTATAGTTGATCTGCATATTTATTTAACCGGGAATTCAATGCTAACAGTTGCCTTTCTCGCACTTTTCGCTTGTGAGACGCCCTTCCGGCATCATGCATTTCAGTCAAATTTAATCTTATAAACTTTAAATGCCAATCGATGTCTGTTCTCTTCCTGATGACCATTTTATATTCTTTAGCAATGTTTCTGTTTTCTAATTATTCCACATCGAGTAACTCCTTGTGTCTTAGTGACTTTATTGCCTTGCTTGGGATGAACATGCTTAAAAATGAAAAATAAAAAAGAATAATTTCATTGTAAATAGAAAGAAAGTCTTTTCAAGAATTCACTGAAAGAAAATAATGTACGTCTATTTAAAGTACACGGAGATGTAACAACACAGAGATTGTTGAAGGTGGACCTGACAGAACCTTATAATTGGCTTAAATATTTAAATTCTTTTTTGTAATTTCTAAACCGAAGACATGCTTAGTTGGGCAGGTAGACTTCAGAGCCGTGATATTACGCTCAATTTGCCAATTGGGCAAATAACGATACAAAATATGTTTTCCAACACTTTACCGTTTATTGAGGAAAAGAGTTTAAATTTTATAATAACATTTTGAAGTCAGTCTGTAAGCAAAAAAAAAACAAAAAAAAACGGAAATTAGATACATTTTTTCAAGAATTTTATTTTGAGTATATCATACCAGTCAAGGCGTTGGTGCCACTAGCATGCACAGAATTACAGAAAGTGAGAGCAGGAGTAAAGAGTGTGTTTGAGGAAAGGACAAACTGGAGACATAATACTATGAAAGTGAAAAAAAGATATTTATTAGTACTAGAATACTTTGTAAAAAAAATTATTACCAGCAATACATTTTCTCGAAAAATTATTACCAGCAATACATTTTTGAAAAGAAATATTACCAGCAATACATTTTTGAAAAAAAATATTACCAGCAATATATTTTTGAAAAAAAATATTACCAGCAATACATTTTTGAAAAAAAATATTACCAGCAATACATTTTTGAAAAAAAATATTACCAGCAATACATTTTTGGAAAAAAGTATTACTAGCAATATATTTTTGAAAAAAATATTACCGGCTATGCAGTTTTGAATAAAAAAATACCAGCAATAAAAATTTTGTCGGCATTAAAAACTGGAGTCAAAACACTATGAAAGTGAAAAAAATAATTTTTAATACTAGAAAACTTTGTAAAAATTGTTACCAACAATAAATTTTTGAAGAAAACAGATTACCATAAATACATCATTAACAGCAATACAATTTTGAAAAAACAATAATACCAGGAATATATTTTTGGAAAAAAAAATATTACCAGTTATGCATTTTTGAAAAAACAATACCAGCAATAAAAATTTTGTCGGGATTAAATAAACCATTGAGGTTGATATATCTTAAAACAAAACAAATCAAACTAAACAAGCAAGGGGTTAATGACAGTTAGAAAAGAAAATATTAGTGAGGAGACATGACAGGAATCGGTAAGACAGAAGTTGGCGATTGATGCTGTACTCAGACTTTTGAAAATTGTTATCATTTAGGCTTCCTCCTTACAAAATAACATTTGCCGATATTTGAGAAACTGACATTTAACGCCATCAAGTGAGTTCGATCTTCACTCGGTGCCATACAATTTTTGACTAAATTATATATTAAATACTTATCTCGAGGCTTAGTGCTCTGGATAATTATTCGCTTTTTCTACGAAACAAGCCACAACCTTTGTTGACTTGGTGAATCGATTACGACAAAAACAAAACAACATGGAGAATCGATTGAATAAATTCGATGCTTAATCAAGGATCTGAAATTCAAAGACAGGTTTGACGAAGTTAGAACAATTCTGTTTGATGCAAAAGCGAAAATATTAGCATTTTTCAACATTTTTTTATTTTCTCTTGGTTTTTTTTTTTTAATTTATTACATAATCTTCACAGTTTTACATTTCTTTCTTTTATTCTTTCTTTCTTTCTTTATTTTCTTTTTTATTTTATTTTCGTGTCTTTTGTATGCATTCAACCATTCTTTCTTTCTTTCTTTCTTTCTTTCTTTCTGTTCATCTATACCTTCTCACATTCTTTTCTTTAAACATTCTATCTTTTCTTTCTTTACTTCATCCATCCTTTACTACTTTCTTGTATTAATCAATTATTACTCCTTTTCTTTTCTTTCTTCCATTAATTCATTATTTATTTCTTTTTTTTCATTCTTACATTCTTACTTCTATTATTCAACCATTCTTTCTTTCTGTCTTTCTTTCTTTCTTTGTTTGTTTGTTTCTTTCTTTCTTAATTTATTTTATGCATCCATACTTTCCTTATTCCTTTTATGCATCTATTTTTTCTTTCTTTCTTTCTTTCTTTCTTTCTTTCTGTCTTTCTTTCTTTCTTTTTCTTGCTTTCTTTCTTTATTTATTTATTTTATCCTTACTTACTTTCTTTCTTTCCTTCTTTCTTTCTTTTTTCTTGCATCTATTTTTTTCTTTCTTTATTTTTTTTTTCTTTTTTCTTTCTTTCTTTCTTTCTTTCTTTCTTTCTTTCTTTCTTGCTTTCTTTCTTGCTTGCTTTATTTATTTATTTTATCCATACATACTTTCCTTATTCCTTTTATGCATCTTTTTTTTCTTTCTTTCTTTCATTCTTTCTTTATTTCTTTCATTCTTTTTTCAATCAATACTTTCCTTATTCCTTTTATGCATGTATTCTTTCTTTTTCTTCTTTCCTTCTTTCTTTCTTTCTTTCTTTCTTTCATTCTTTCTTTCTTTCATTCATTCTTTTTTCAATCAATACTTTCCTTATTCCTTTTATGCATCTATTCTTTCTTTCTTTCTTTATTTATTTATTTATTTATTTATTTATTTTATCCAACCATAATTTCCTTATTCCTTTTATTCATTTATTCTTTCTTTCTTTTTTCTTTCTTTCTCTCTTTCTTTCTTTTTTCTTTCTTTCTCTCTTTCTTTCTTTTTTCTTTCTTTCTTTTATCCATCCATACTTTCCTTATTTCTTTTATTCATCTATTCTTTCTTCTTTATATTCTTCCTCTCTTTATTTGTTTGTTCGTTTCTTTCTTTCTTTCATTCATTCATAGTTTACAATTATCAACGCTGTTTCATCTTAATAACTTATGTCGTTAAAGTTTCTTTTGATTTATTTATTATTTTCACTTAATATTTTATCGGCCAATTAATTTCCTTCTTTTCTTCTTCCTTTCTTTCTTTCTTTCTTTGTTTCTTTTCTTCTTTCTTTTCTTTCTTTGTCATTTTTTGTCTTCTCTTCATTTTTTTAAACTTTTTTTTCCGATTTCTTTCGTTATTTTGTTTTTTATTCTTTTTTCTCTTTTCCCAGAAGTGTTTTATGTTAATCTTTTACTCTAGTATGAATATGTTTCTATTATCGCGGTGTATCGGTCAGTGATTTGTACACCAGTCGTAGAGCGTTCAGAGGTCGCCTTGAGCCTCGGGTATACTCGATATTTCTCAATGTTCTTATGGTTAAAACCAAAACTCATCTCACTAGCACAAATTAGATATTTCGATTTTCCATGGGTCTCCCATTTCTTTACCTGAGTACAAGAAGAGATCTTTGTTTATCAAATAAGTATTATCTTAATAATTTTCGTTTATGACTTTATTTTTCATTTTTATATTAGCATTGTGAGTACAGCAGACATGGAAATTGTAAACCTGGCTCGTTTGATCTATAATTACTCTTTTGTTTGTTTTCACATTTACTTTCTTTCATTTTCATATTTTTCCAAGATTTCTACTCATTTTTCTATTGAAGATTTTGAAGTATTCCTATAATACATTTACATCATTTTAATCTTTCTTTTTTCTAACTATTCTTCCATGAAATTTTTGAATTTATCTTATGTCTTCAATTATCTGTTTACATCTCTGAGATGACGTATTATGATCACTTGCATTATTTACATTCTTTGGACTGTTATCCTTGTCTTCATTGCCATATTCACAAAGTTTCGGCCATTGTATGCTCTGGCCTCAGTTGATTGAAATTTCGAACCGAGCATTTATTTCGTCCACTGCGGGTAGATTGCTCTAGTTCCACGTGTCATGCCTCTTCCGGATGTCTTAGTTATTTCCATTTAACTCAACTCTGCAAGTTGGATGGATAAAGTGACAAGACCCAAAGAGTTGTGAGTTCAATACCTGTCCATAGCAGTGGGGGAACAAAAAACTTGGAAAGTTGAGTTAAAGGGAAATAACTGAGATATCAGGAAGATGCATGACACGTGGAACTAGAACAATCTACCCCGGTGGACGAAATAAAGTGTTCGATTCGAAATTCCAATCACCTGAAGAAGGCCGGAGCGCAAAACGGCCGAAACGTCATGGATATAGCGGTGAAGATTGGGATAACAGTCAGAATAATGTAAATAATGCAAGCAGTCTTTAAGTACCTTCTTGTAAAATTTCCCTCAAGCGCTTTTAAAAAAAAAAATCCTTTCGTCTTAATTGATATTAGTTCATACTCGGTTCTTTCCCGCGGTGTTCTCATTTCTTTCTTCTTTCTTCATGAATTCTGTATATATTTGTTTTATACTTATTCTTTTTAAAATAACGGACCTTGAAATAGATAAACGTTTATCGCATTTTGCTTTCCCTTGTTTACTTACTGATCGCTAAATGCACTACGCTGATTTGTCTACTGATTTTTTCTTTTGAATTAATAATTTTCACTTTCAGTATGTTCCTTTTTTCACTTTCACTTTCACTTTTTCTTTTCTTTCATTTCAGCCCTTTACTTAATTTTTCTTTCACATTTTGCTTCCTTGGACTGTTAAGAATGCCCATATTTCCAGTTTTACGGTTTTACTGACTCTCAGATATCATTTACTAACTTAAAAGTCGCCCTGAAAATTTCCTCTGTTTTTTTTTGTTTTTTTTTTGCATAAGATTTACGAAATAATTCCGTTTGTGTTTGAAATGTTTTTCAGACAATTGCCGAGATTTACTTTTTGCCTATTTCTAAAATTCTTATTCTTAAATTAATGGTTGAGAGTGCTTGATACAAAAAAAATGATACTACACTGCTAACATAAATTATAAAAACAATATTAAAAACAAGAAAAAAAAACAGAAAAAGAAAAATCATTTGGTATACACCCCCGTTCAACCGAAAATGGTTAGCAATAAGCTGGGACAAAAATTCATAGCTTTAATTGATAAACACTTTCCTACTGATAGCAATATTAGTAAGATCTTAAATAAAAAACACCTTAAAATTAAGTTACAGGTGCACTGAAAATCTAGAAAGATTCATAAAAAAACATAATAATAAAATCCTGAAAAAACACGCATGCCAAAATCAAATTAATAACAAACCTAAATTAAAGCTAAACAAAAATAATGAAATTGAAATTTTAGAAACCCTGAAGATTGTCCGTTGGATAATAAATGCCGCATAGAATCTGTGGTGTACCAATGCACAGTCTCATCCATTGAGAATCCAAATATTGAAAAGATATATATAGGATCCATGAAGAATGAATTTAAAATAAGGTGGAGGCAACACAAAAGCCCCTTCAATAATATTAGAAATAGAAATCAGATATCCCTATCTGAATCAGGCTATTTACATTGCGCAGATCAGGTCGAAAATTTCAGTGATTGCGCTGGTTAGTGATGCCAACGTTGTGTGAAAATTTTGTGGGAATTGATTGTACGGTTTTTGAAATATTATAAAAAATAATTTGGCACGCAGTGTATATATATATATATATATATATATATATATATATATATATATATATATATATATATATATATATATATATATATATATATATATATATATATATATATTTATTTATATTTATAAATATACATAAATATTAATATACAGACATATATATATATCTATATATATATGCATATATTTTAATTTAATTGCAAAATTAAATTCGGGGTTTTTAGCTTCTATTTTTGAAACATGGTTGGAACTGTGTAGCGAAAAAAACCCATATTTTAAATCAATTAATTTATAATATATATACATATATATGGTCTTTATATTTACATAGATTTTCTTTATATATATATATATATGTTCTTTTATATACATATATATGTTCTTTGTTATATATATATATATATATATATATATATATATATATATGTTTTTTTATTTATATGCACACATGTTCTTTCTTCATATATAATATATATATATATATATATATATATATATATATATATATAATTTGTACCATTCTGTTCCCATTGCACTTGAACCTTATCTTGTCAACCATCAGTCGTTTTTTTTTCTCTCTTACTCGGTTTTTTGCCGTGAGTGGTGCGCATAATAAATTAATGGGACCGTTTGTAAAAACGAACATTTTGTAACACACCGATGTGGAAAAATATCATATTTCCACGTTTGCTTTGTCTGTTGGCAGCTTATTAGATGAAATCGGTTGAGACCTTTTTTTTTTCGTATTTGAAACCTTGATTAATAGTTCAAACAAATTACGTACAATATGCGTTTATTAATCAAAATATATCCCATTATTATACTGCTGTCTGTTGCCAAGAGTACGAAATCTCTCTACACCTACACAGGAAATGGTCCATGGTTCAGAAAAGGTGGCAATTCTATAGTAAATGATCAGATGTGTAGGCAGGTTGAGGCGGCATTTCCAGAGACTCAAATTCCTTGTGCTTACGATTGATCTTATTGGTATTATGCGATAAAACCTTGTCGTGTTGTAGGAAAGTTCGGCTTCGATTGACTTATAAACATAAAAGTCAGTGTTCACAGCATGACAATATGTGACGAGTTCAAAGGGTAACCCTCACTTAAAATATCACCAAACACACAATATGTACTTCTGTTTAAACTGGCCTTGTTCGACAACAGGTTCTGAAGCCAGATAGACAACACTGATTTATTTTATTAGGATTAAGAATACAGATCCAATTCTCTAGTTACAATTCGACACCAAAAACGAGTACCTTAAGAATTCCCTAGTACTTTGTGTAGCCTTTCTGTTGACTAGCAGCATGGCCCGTGCTTAATTCAAAAATCGTACGACTCATACAGCAATCGCTATCACTTGACTTAAAATATTTTTACCCTTCCTTGCCTTTAAAGGAGTGCCCTTTGCCGTCTGATGTTGCTACATGCCTTACTTCTTGCCTATCTCACACTGCGAATTTTTTCTAAGCTCTAGACTAAACATTAAATCTGTTACGAAAAAAGAACTAAACAAAATGAACACAAAACGATCAGCTTTAAAAAAGGAATCGTAACTAGAAAAAACCGAATGAAAAAAGAATGTTAACAACAAATACTTTTTCACACCCAACCCAGTTCTGCGGAATCAGAATCAACGTTGAGTTTAAGCAAGCGAATAAGCCAATAGGATTAAAGTTCCATACAGATTTAAATTTTTCCCACCTGTGACGAATGCAGCTATCGATTTTTTTTTGCATGATAGCATGTTAGTTGGCATTTGTGTCAGTCAGCTGTTGGCTCTCATGCTGGCTAATAGAATCTTCCTGCCAGCTCTAGGCTCTCAATCTAGCCAGTAGAAAATGGCCGCAAACTACATGAAAACTGCCGTAGAAGCATGAAAAAATCCATTATTTCCACTATCGATTGGAGTTGGGAAAAGCAAAGTCGGTCTTGGCCTTCCTGCTAACTTGGAGCATGTGCATGTAAATGTTGGTGCAAATCCGTCGAAAATTGCGGCCGTGTATTCGTTACACACGCACGCACGCACGCACACACACACACACACACACACACACACACACACACACACACACACACACATCCTGCCTTTTATAGATAGAGATATCAACAAGGAACATTTATAGTAAAATGTCGAACAACACATTTGTATGGAAAAATTACCAACAATACGTTTCAGACAACTGCGTTCTAAATATATGTAATTAAAATTGTGTTCAAAGTATTTCGATTTCGAAATGAAATAATCCACATACAAATACACATATCACCGCATCTCTTAATTATGTCCACACAAACATGTATATGTATAAATGCTGAGTATCATCCAATATCTTTTTAATAGCGAAAGCAGAATAACATATACTTTTATTATTTCAAACACCGAAGAAAATGAAATTTCGGCGTTAATGTACCCATTATGAGTTAATACATATTTAAACAAATAAATCAAATCGAGATATCTATATATCGATCTATATATATGTAAAAACATATTCAAAATATATATATATATATATATATATATATATATATATATATATATATATATATATATATATATATATATGTGTGTGTGAAAATATATAGAAAATAGGAAGGAACTGGTTAGGTAAATAATCCAAAGTCCCTTAGTATTTTAGTTATTATTTTTAAAAAATAGTGCTCGATACAAAAGTAGAGCATAAATATAATTATTTATTTAAAAATATGATTCCAAATCGCTACATAAGAGGTCTCATGTTTCAAAACTAGAGCCGAAAACTTCAATATAATCCTTTAAATTAAATTGAGTTGAAAGTAAAATGGGCTCCGTTTTTTGTAGGCATCATCAGATTTTTGGTTTGAATTATTAGATAAAAAAATTTATATAACTTGTTTAACAAATAGCCCAATCATCAGATTCAAATTAGGAATAATTAACTACAAACATGCATACTACATAACACACTTCATAATCCATAGCCTAAATTAGTAGTTTAAATACCTTAAATATAAGATAACCCTTTATGAAGTCGTCAAAAAAAACGTTACGAAAGTTTTTCTTTTTTTATATGCACAATTCCCTTTCATAATAAAATAAAATAAAATAAATAAATAAATCTCCATAGACAAGCAAACTAGACGATGGCCAATACATCCATTTCATTTTTGACACCCCCACCTTTCCCCGACTTGACACCTTGAAAGTATCTCTATACCGCTACTTATTATAAACACCCAACACTCGCCTACCCAATTTAGACAATTCACCCTAGCTGTTACCATGGGGATTTTGATTTCAATTTTAAAACAAGTAAATTTCAGATATATGTTATTGCAACAAAAATTTCGCTTGAAGATGGAACGGAGCCCATTTTACTTTCAACTCAATTTAATTTAAAGGATTATATTGAAGTTTTCGGCTCTTGTTTTGAAACATGAGACCTCTTATGTAGCGATTTGGAATCATATTTTTAAATAAATAATTATAGATCTATATATATATATATATATGCAAAAACATATACAAAATTGTATATATATATATATATATATATATATATATATATATATATATATGTGTGTGTGTTTGTGTGCGTGTGTTTCATTGAATAATATGGATATATTGTTTATTTATTCTTATACGGATCGTTTCAAATCTCATCAGTTTCTTGATGTTAATTTAATCAAGAAATGTATGGAATTGATCAAGGAAGGCTCCGTAGATTTTTCTAACCC